AGTTGCCATCACTTGCGACAAAAGTTGTGTTACAAGCTGAATCTTTTAAGATATTTAAAAGTATTTGGTGAGGTCATTTGCTATAGCAAACACTCAGAATCTTCTTCTTGGCATGTCATTTAAAACAAGCAAAAAGAACTTGTTTGCCAGTTTAAACTCCACACACGCTCAGTGAGTGGCATGGGATCTTAAGCAGGTAACTTATTTAACTTTTTCTAGGGCTTTTTTTGTTCACCTGTGACAAACTGAATTGTAATACCAAGCAATAGTGATGAAAGAAATAGGAAGACATAAAGCTAGGTTTTTTTAATGTGATGTAAACTGTTAGCAAAGTTGAGGGACCATGTCAGCTGCTACTACTACTCAAGTGATTTTCCATTTGCTGGCATTTGAAGAGGTGAATACTGTCATCTAGGACCCTCAAAAAGTACAGCAACAGACTACAAAAATCTTCCACTAACATATATGTGTAGGTTAACCTGTGTTTAAAGTTAACTCCATTTTAATTTGTTTTTCTTTTATGAGGTGAAAAAATAGGCAGATGGCCAAAAAGAGTGTAGCGAAAGGGAAGATGCTGAGAATTTTTGACACTGGCTTTGTCGTTGCTTGTGCTTTTGTGTCAGTAATGCATATTGACTGTGTTTGCTGTCCTTCACCAGTAAAAAAGTGAGCCTGTGCCTTCCTTATCGAATCCATTACAAAGTGAGTGGATGCTGGATATAGATCCCACAAGATGCAGCTTTTGAAATTACAACATCTTGACATTAAAAGCGAGTTTCTGGAAATGATTAAAAAAACATGGCCACAGCACTTCCACAGCGCTGGCTGTTAAGTTTCCTTTTCAGCTTCCCCCAGCCTGTCCTTCCCATTTGAAGAAAAAAAAAAAAAAAAAGCTTTTGCTGGGAAATCAGCCAGTTTAAAGGCCATTTAAATTTCTCAGATGAGTTAAAAGCCTCATTTCCTTGCTGCATGTTTAGGACAATCTGTATGGTCAGAAGAGTACAACTTCTGAGTTGCTGGTGAAACATTGCAGGACACCCAGCACACGCCTGTGTGCTTCCCTGTGCAGGAGCACGGGTGCCGGGAGGGGGAAACGGGGTACGGGGCGGGGAGAGGCAGGAGGGAGCCACCCTTCACAGGCTTTTCTGGAGCGGATCGATGGGACGGACTCGCTGGCTGTCAGTGGCGGCGGCGTAACAGCGTGCACTTTATTGTTGTTTTATGAAGAATACTTGTGGTTATAAAAGTATGTAATGCAGGAGCACTCTTCTAGAATTAACAGATTAGATCAAGGCGGAAAAGCAGTTGGAGGAGTTTCTTGGACTTTTTGTAAATTATCCACTTTCTGGTTTCGAGATAGAAAAATAGATTGATATTTCTCCAGTACGAGTCTCTATTTATTTTATTTTTTTTTCCAGAAAGCAAGGCTTGAACAAGCAAATCATTAAAGTTTAGGGGCATAATTGCTTATTTGAGTGTCTTTAGAATTTTATTTTTCTGTTCCTGCAGTAGTTGATTACATCCGAGCCCTTGAATACTGTGTAATGGGAAGGAGGTAATTCTGTGCCATGCAGTATTCCTCCTCCTCAGGCAGTGGAAAGGTGCTTAGTTTTCTGCAGGAAATTACCTCTTCCCTCCCAAACAACCACACATAAGAAGCGCTTTGCTTGGACCTGATACATTCCACTGCCAGCGGTTTGACAGCGGAACACAAAGAAAACATTTCTCTCCTTTGTGAGATCCCTTCCGCGCTGCCTTCAGTTGGAAATCCCTCGGGAAACCTTCATTTTGCTGCCGTGTCCTAACAGCAGCCACAAAATAACAGTTACGTAAAAATTCCCATCACGGTGGTCCACGGCGTCGGTCCTCCTGAGCACTGGTCGTCACCTTCCCGTCTCCCGAAGCCAAATGCAGGGGGCAGGAGGAAAAGGCAAGGCAGTACGAGGCAGGGCGTAGCTGCGAAACGTGCCGCCCGTTCCCAGTCACACGGCGGCGCGGCCAG